TACCTGATATACACCTCATTGTCCGGTATTCATTTGTACTCATGCACGTATTAAATGTTCAGTATCTTGTATTGATCTAGATTATGCTATTTTGTTTTTATTATCCCACAGGTGTTAGAGCTGAGAAAGTTTATGGAAAATAATCTCTTTTTAAATAATCCCTCACAGTTTAGAAAAGCCGGAAGTGTGGAATGAATGGTGAGACAGTGCTAACTCCTGAAGCTGTTGCAGCCGGGAGACCATGGACACTGTCTTTCTCCAAGGTCAGCATCGTTTTTGTTCACTCTGTGTTTCGGCCTATTCCTGCTGGGTTTGGTAAAATTTTGAAGTTTGCATTTGGAGAGACAAGGGTTTTATCTTATTGAATCACAGGGTTGTTTACAATGGGAGGATCCAGTTCACCTCTGGCCTCTGGCAACGGGCCCGGGTGTGGGTCTCCAATTCCAAATTATGACAATGGCATCCTGGTTAGAGATCTGCATCCTGTGTCCAGGGCCTGTGCTTCAGAGTCAAAATGTATTCGGTTGTGGGTCTACAGTCTTGCACCTCTTAGGATGTGGATTTGTGTTCTGGGTTTGCATGTGAGGTCCATGTGCAGATGAAGCTTTTGGTTTTGGTGAATGGCATCTGGTATTAAGGGTCCAATGTCAGTCCCTGGCAACTGGTGTTTGGCCTTCGGACCTCATGGTCTGGCTTGGGTGAGGGCACAAGGCTTTGGGTTTAGGGCTTTGGGCCTGCAGTCCTGGTTTTGGTTTGGGTCCACTCCAGGGTGCATGTTTTGGAGTCAAAGGTCTGTGTCCAGGATCCTGAGTTTGGCTCTGGTGTTTGTCAACAGATGACCATTTTGACAAATTCAATGCCAATATGAATCCACAAGTGTATGGAGTTGAGATAGGTTTGTAGAAAAAGTAGGAAAATTCCTTGGCAAGTGAAATGGAAAAAGTGAGTTTGATAGCTAAATAAGGCCTAGCAATTTACATCCAGGTAATAAATCTGAGGCCTTTATCTTCCCTGACCAAGAGGGCATTTGAGAGCAAATGATTCACACATTCCAGACCACACAGGGGAAGACCCACCTCAGTCCCAGCCCTTCTCTGGTGACTTTTCTGAAGGAGAAAGTCACCAGAGCAGGACCCTGATCACTCTGTGTGCTCCTGTTGTTGCATCAGCACATCAATGACACTCCTGGTCCTGGGAAGCAGAGTATTCTGTGGAGATGACTCTTCTAAGACCTCCTCTAAAGTCCTCAACATTAGAAAACAGGTAAAACCTTTAAAAAAGGACCCAGTGTGAGCTGTTCATTGAGATCACGTGCACCTTCCCTTCTCTTCTTTGCTGCATATCTTCACTGTTTCTTCTTATCTCCAAAGGTCCCTGGGACTTGCAGGCAGGGAGCTGTGGGCAGCAGCAGCTTGTCCCGGACTCACCCCCCTGATCCTGTCTCCAAGGACCTTCTTTGCTTCTAAATTTCTGTTTCTCAAGAAGCAGCTCCTCTTATGCTCACTCTTGTTGCTGTGATTGTGCCTCTTCTCTCTGAAGCCCTTTGTTTGTTTCACTGTCCTTAATATTTAATATACGAACTCTCAAAATTCCCTAGCTCTCTGTTGTGAAATTTTGCTGCAGGAGGTCAAGAACCTACACATGTGAGACCTTTCCAGGGCAAACTGGACCCCTTGGGTCCAGTCCCTTTTCGGTGACAGAACAACCAAATTTTGTGTATTTGTTTACCTGTGGATGGACATTTGAATACTTTCTACCTTTCAGTTCTTATTCACAGTGCTGTTATATATAATCATGTACGTTTGTTATAACATCTGTCCTCAATTTCTGATTGTATTTCAAAGTAGACTTTTTGAACAGAGTAGGATAATTTTTTTGATGAAATGTCAAACCATTTTATACAAGGTCTGCAATATTTTACATTTTCAAAAGAAATGGTCAATTGTTCCAATATTAGTTTCTGATCATAAACATTTCTCAGTTTTGCTTTCTCATTATAGCCTTTGTAGTGTCTGTGAAGGGGTATTGTGCTGTGATGTAGCCATTGCACATCTTCTCTGGTATTTTTTTTACCACTTCTATGAATGTCTTCTAATTATAAGGGACTATTCAAGTTTTTTAAAAATATGGATGTCTTCTTGGGTGTCATGGCTCACTGGTTGAGCACCTACTTGTAAACCGAAGGAGTCTCTGGTTCAATTCCCAGTCAGGGCACATGCCTGGGTTGTGGGCCAGGTCCCCATTAGGGGGAATGTGAGAGGCAATGACAGATTGATGTTTCTCTCCCTCTCTTTTTCCCTCCCTCACCCTCTCTAAAAATAAATAAATAAATAAATAAAATGTTTAAAATAATACAGGTGTCTCTTCCTGGATGAGTCATAAAATTCTTTGTTGTAGAAGAATGAGTCTGATCGAAAGTATAACATGCAACCATTTTCTTCAATTCTGTGGGTGGTCTTCTTATGTTGTGAATAGCTTCTCCTGCTGCCCAGAATTTTTAAATCAGGAGGACACCACATTTACTCATTTAGTTTCATCAGTTTTGCTTTGGAAGGGTGTGCCTTGATATGGAAGCAGCAGCCTCATCCATTTTTAGGTCTTATGTATGTCATCATTGCATTATATAATTTGCTTGATTGAGTATAACTTGTTTCACAGAAAACTGCTTTATGGTTTTAGACATGAGATGATTACATTTCAAGGGTTTACAGGTTTAAATAGGAGGAAAGACTATTCTCTGGAGTATGATGTCCAGAGTCAGGCATCTGGAGTCAGGGACAGGCTTTGGACACCCGATCTGGTGTCTGGTGCGTGGCATGGTGCGTGGTTAGGATTAGGGGTTGGGGTTGCAGTGGATACCATGACTTGTCTTTAACTATTTGAAACCATCATGTTAGACTGTATCACAACAGGTGTACTATCAGCGTGTGATTAAAAAAAATCTCACTACAAGTGGTAAATGTATGGTCGGCCATTTTCACAGAGAAGCATGAGCATAAGCAACATTTTCTGTCCCTTTGGCTTAGTCTTTTCACAAAAGGTACAAGGGCAACTGTAAGGCACGAAAAGATCTGTGGTTTGTGTGGAGAAGATACTGTGACTGACCGAATGTGTCAGAAGTTTATTGCAAAGTTTCATGCTGGAGACTTCTCCCACAGGTAGGCAGGCCAGGTGCAGTGGAGAGCCCTCCATGGGAGATGTTCACTGAGGACAGATCACATCATGGCAGGTGGGAGATAGGCAACATGTTGAAAGTGTCCTACTCAGGCTTCGAAAATCATTTGCACCAGCTTGGTTACATGAATTGCTTTGCTGTTTGGGCTCCACAGGAGTTAAGCAGGATGGTGGGGGACCTTCATGAGTGGATTTCCACAAGTGGTTCTCCACTGAAACATAAAGGAAATGTTCCATTTTCATGAAGATTGTGTGGGGGGAGGATGAATCTTTGGTATTCGAGAGTAATGTGGAATGGGAGAGGTTGGTGGCAAACAAAGGAACTACCACTTGCTCATCCAAAGGGCAGTCTGCACCCAAAGGAGGTGATGATGCCCTTGTGGTGAATTCGAAAGGGAGTCCTGCAGTAGGAGCTGGTTTCGGAAAGCCAGCAGGCTACTGGCAACAGGTACTGCTCCCCATCAGACCGACTGAAAGCTCCACTTGAGGGAAAGAGTCCGGAATTTGGGAGCAGAAGATGCAGAAGGTTAGGATTAGGTGAGAGAGCTCAATTGTCTTAGGTGACCAGGGAAAACGATTCCAGCCTGGCTGCACAGTCCTGATTCCTCCACAGTACTCAGAAGACCTTGCTCCTTCCCATGGCCATGTAGTTTGTCTCTCTGAATTCTTCTTTATGGAGAGAAATTTCTATTACCTGGAAGACTGCATAAGACACCTGGAAGAGCTAGCTCTCTGCTTCCGAAGAGAACAATGTTGTGGGACGATGGAATGGTGAAATCGCGTGAACGTGGCAGAGAGGAGTGGAAGAAAACGGTGGTGACATTGTGCAGTTCTGTTGTGGGAGGACAGTGAAGAGGGTGCCTGTCTTTGTAACTCAAGGTAAAAAGTGAAGGAATCTTTCAGCCAGGCCCTTAGTAGGATATGCATTGCATCTGTCGGTCTCTGCTGCTATCTTGTGGTCATTTTGGGGAATGACACCTTATTGCAGGTCTCAAGGAAAAGTGGGTATAGTGTATCATCTAGGAATGTGGAACCGAATGTTATTTAGATGTACATTTCATCACTTTTAAAAAGAACTTTCACCCTGGCTAGTGTGGCTCAGTGGATTAAGCACGGGCCTGTAAAGCAAAGGGTCACTGGTTCAATTCCCAGTCAGGGCACATGCCTGGGTTGCAGGCCAGGTCCCCAATTGGGGACATATGAGAGGCAACCACACACTGATGTTTCTCTCCCACTCTTTCTCCTTCCCATTCCCTCTCTATAAAAATAAATAAATAAAATATTTTTAAAAAACAAAAAGAAGGACTTTTTAGTAACCCTTTGTTACTGATTTCTAGGTTGACTGCAGTTAGCGTCAGCAATATGCTTTGCATAATTTCAATGTTTTGAAGTTTGTTGAAACTTGCTTTACAGTACAATATAGTGTTCCAAGTGTCCCTCTCTTCTGCCATCTGGTGTTCACGTTGGGAAAACACCTTGGTGCAGATCAGAAGGAAATGTTGGGTATAGTGGGTCATCCCTAAATGTTGAATCAAATTTTGTTGCTCATGTTTGGTTTATTTAAATTTTTTAAAATTTATTGTTAGAGAAGGGGGAGGGAATGGAGAAAGACAGGGAGAGAAACATCAATGTGTGTAAGAGATACATCAATCAGTTGTCTCTCACACACCCCAAACTGAGAATCTGGCCTGCAACCCAGCCATGTGCCTTGACTGGGAATCCAACTGTGACCGTTTGGTTCACAAGTCTGTGTGGTCAGTCTACTGATCCACAACAGCCATGTGAAGGGGTCATGTGAAGGTTTTTGTTTTTTTATCTCTACAGGGTTGTTTTTTTTTTTAGGGGGGGAAGTCAATAAGGCTGTAGGTTTGATTCCTGGTCAAGCCACATTCAAGACTCAAGCAATGACTCTGACTGGTGTGGCTCAGTGGGCTGGGCATCTATCTGCCTGCAAACCAAAAGGTCACCAGTTCCATCCCCAGTCAGAGCACTTACCTGGGTTTGAGGCAGGAGATGGTCAGGAGGAAACTCTGGAGGTGCTCCAGGGCTAAGAGAAAGGACACTGATACAGGACAGAGACCCTGTTCTAAGACCAGTTGTTCCTGCTTTCTGGAAAAGCACTGAATCATGGCAAATCATAAGTACACCTGCACAGAAGATGCTACATGACCCCTGCTTCATTATAATAGCATTGTAATAAATCAGACTTGTGGGACCCCCTTCCCTGGTGGTCAGTCAAGGAAGATCATGGGAGACCACATGTGTAGTAGCTTTAAAGTAATAGAACTACTTGTACATGGGCAATAAAACCCTGCTAAAACTAGCCAAGAAATATTGCCCTGTAAGTATAGAATCCCTCCAGCTCCTGAGATCAATCTGTTTGGAGTCAGCCCGCTCCCATGTTTTGTGCAGTGTACTATCACTTAATAAATCTGTTCTCCATCTGTCTGCTATAAACTCTCTGTGTTCTGTTCAATTCCTTGTTTGCTATCATCAAGAACCTGGTTACCTGTGCCCACCTGTGATGGGTTGTGGGCCAGGTCACCAGTTGGGAGCATACGAGAGGCAAAGGATAGATGTTCCAAATGAAAAATAAGTCAATAAATTTAAAAAAGTAAATAAAACACAATTTCTATGTGTATCTGTATATATTAATGAACCCTGTATTCTTTTCCATCAATCTGTCTATTCATGACGCATTAATCCACTGTCGTACTTCCTACAGCTTTGTAATACAACTTTTACTTCTTCCTTATTTTAACAGGTAAACTGAAACTGAGCTTGTTTTACTTTAAAAAATTTTGCTGAGCCCTGGCCAATGTGGCTTAGTCTGCTGGAGCATTGTCCTGTAAGGTAGGAAAGATAGCAAACTAAGGAAAGGAGGAGGGAGACATGTCTGACCCCCTGACTCAGCCGTCCTGAGCTGGACTTGATAATAGTGCCAGGTGTTCAGAATATCACAAGAAACACATGGTAGCGCAGGAGGAGGGAATTCTATGTATTGTTCCCACTGTCTGGGAAGGAAAGCCTTGGAATTAAACCGTGTTAATTCCGCAGTGTCCAGAGAAGAAGCCCACACGGCAACTTTGGTTACGTGCCTACTTCTGGTCACCATCTGTTTTACAAGGGAGTACCTAATGTTTACAGAAATCCCATAAATAATTTATAATTTTGGGTAACTGCCCAAGCTGCAACTGGCTCCTGTCACGTTATTTGTTTTACAAGGGGAACAAACAGGGTCTGGGCTGAGATAAGCATTCAAGCTAACAGACCCCCACACATACATGCATTTGGGTAGTTACTTCCCCCCATGGAAGCTGGCACCACCTTTACCCACCAATTAATATGTCACTTCTTCACCCTGATCCTGCCAACACCTAATTCCTCAGGACCAAGGACCTGAGGCTCTTGCCACCCTTGCCCTTGACTATTGCCATCCTTACCTTGCCCTGCCCAGAATCTATACCTCTCACCCCGACCTTGGCAAGGCCTGTTCTCTTCCATGAAAACGTATCACTAGTAAACCCTGCTTGCTCATGAATAGATTGGCTGATCTGCAATTCTTTACTGCATCAGCAAAGAGAACTTAGTTTCTCCCATAATAATTCCATAAACCGAAAGGTTGTAGTACAAGCTCTAGTCAGGGCACAGGCCTAGGTTGTGGGTTTTGTGCCCAGTGGGGAGACAACTCTTTGATGTTTCTCTTCTTCCCTTCCCTTCTCTCTGAAATCAATAAGCATGTCCTCAGGTGAGGAATAAAATAATTTTTTCCTGTTTTAAGCTAGATCATATTGTATTTATAGGTAACCATGGGAAATGGAGATCATTATATATTTTTCTCTCCAAGAACATGCTGTTACTTTCCTGTTGTTCAAGTGTCTTTTTGAAAAAAAGATTTTACTTACTTTAAACAGGGCATGGGAAGGGGAAAGAGAGAAAAAAAAACCCCATCTATTAGTTGCATCTCACATGCCCCCAACTGGGGACTGAACCTTCAACTCAGGCACATGCCCGGATTGATAATCGAGCTGGTGAACTTTAGATCTGCGGCACGGAGATCATCCTTCCAGGTCATGGGGATTTGTGTTTGTGTCCCCCTTTGGTGAACCCACTGCAGCAGAAATGGGGTGGGTCGTGGGTAGGTCTCCCTGACGCAGGAGAGGGTCTGATGGGGTCCTCACTAAATGTTTGACATCTCTGTGTATTGAACTCAGCTCCGGTTCTTAGAAAAGTGTGGCCTCTGGGAGCTGTTGGCACCCTTCCTTATGTTTATGCAGATGTAGATGTTTACCCTGTTCTCACCTTGAGTCTTGTTGGACTCCCACCCATTGGGTCCATGGGAATTTTGTGCTCCTGGGCCATTGTGGACATTACCTGGGGACGGGTGGCCAGGAATGACCAACATTGTGCATGTCTATTATCCCATGAGACTTCACAAACAAGTTCAAAGATACAATAAGTAATAATTTTGAGATGGTGTCAGCGGTGCATTAAACTCTGTGGGGCCCAGGCACAAGGAGGGTGCATTACAGAACTTGCTGTGTTGCAGGCTTCATGAATGCCATGTGCAGATTGGGTGCACCTGTCATAGGAGAAACTCAGCTCCTGCCAACGCAGTAAGGGATCACAGGTCATCAAGTGTATTGCTGTGCAAGCAGGGGTTATTAGTGACACATTCTCATGGGAGAGGACAGGTCTTGCTGAGGTGGGGGTGAAAGGTAAGAGCACCAGGGCCTTTGTCCTAAGGACTTATATAGTTGGTGGGTAAAAGTGGTGCCAGCTTCCAAGGGGATGGACTACCCAAACATAGGTATGTGTGGGGGTTGTTACCCTGAATCCTTATCTTGCTTCTGATCCCACTTGGTCATGTTGTAAAATAGATGAATGACAGGAGACAGTTTAAGTTGAGGCAGTTACCCAAAGCTAACAATGGGCTCATTCTGTAAGCACTAGAGACCCTCTCATAAAAGATAGTGGACAGAGGTAAGGAATTAACCAGATTTGTTTTACGGGTCTTTCCTTGAGTGCTGTAGACCCCCTTCCATCTTCTAGGCCTTGGGATGAATACACTTTGAAAGCCTTTCTTTCCCAGATAGTGGAAACATCAGCTAGAATTTCAACGTGTTAGCATGGTGTTTCTTGTGATGCTGGAACATCTGACAATGGAATTGGACCAGGCGCAGGACTGCTGAGTCATTGGGTGACACCCATCTTCCTCGTCCTCCCTGCCTTGGCTCACCATCTAACACACCAGTGCAGGCAGGTACTGTTCCCAGTGTCAGTTCTCAGCAAGGGGTGGGTGAGGGTCTTGTTTCACAGCTCACTCTCAGCACCACCTGCTTGTGTTGAGGAGGCTCTGAGGATGCCCAGGCTCAGTGAGAAGGTGGTGATCAGGGGGAGGCACCTCCCCAACCTCAGGCTTCCTTCTCAGGGCAATTCAGTCTGTGTGGGGAAAGCAGTGGGGTCTGCTCAAATTCTGAATTTGGTTAAACACCCTTGTCCTAATCTTCCTTTGTCCACCACTAAAGACCAGGAAGACATGGGCACTGAAGGCTGTTCAGTAGGGCTTGCGATGTCAGCGATCCTCTTGCTAGATTCTGTCTGTGCTGACTCAACTTTGAATGTCAAACCAAAAGGCTGGAATTCCTATTTCCATTGCACAGACTAGGAAGCAGGCAGAGAGAAGTTGAGAATCTTGCCTTAGGTCACACTGCTGGAGGAGACAGAACTGAGACTCACACCAAGTATGGACTGATGTGGAATCTGTATGCTGTGCACTAGGAAATACTGACCCTGAAAAGGGAGCAAGGAGAGTGAGGAAGACCAACCCAGACTGAGCAGCTCATGTCCATGCACAAGCATCCATCTCTCCCTGCCATTCATCTCTGAGACTCCAGAGGTTGTAGGAAACCAGAAGAGCCAAGAGAAGGCAAGGGAGAAGTATGGAGCTGATTAGGAGAAAAGGCCCTTTCCAGGAGACTGGGGAATTACCTTCCTGGGTGAGTCTGTCTCAAATCCCTCTCTTTCTGGAGTAACGAAAGTACACTGATTTCACATTTACACATTTGTCGGAATTGAATTTCTGTGGCTGAGAGTATGACTTCTTTGTGGCTCTTTAGGAATCCTCTGCTTTCAGTGATGGGGAAAATGAGAGATGTGTATGGAGACAAAACATTTTAGAATAGGTCAAAAAACCATGAACGAGTTTGGTGCTGACATCCCCATATCACTATGGAATTGTTTGTCCATTTCATCTCTTGTAATGAAACTGGAAGGTTTGTTTAACCAGTTACTTCTATACTAATTACAATCATGGGGAGAGTAAGGGGCTGTGGACATCCTATGGCTATTGATATGTGACTTAATGCTAATGACTCACTCACTCAACCTGCAAACATAGGGCTTCTCCCCAGAGTGTGTCCTCTGGTGTCTGATGAGATGTGACTTGCATGCAAAGCCTCGCCCGCACTCCCTGCAAACATAGGGCTTCTCCCCAGAGTGTGTCCTCTGGTGTGTGATGAGATGTGACTTGCATGTAAAGCCTCGCCCACACTCCCTGCAAACATAGGGCTTCTCCCCAGAGTGTGTCCTCTGGTGTGTGATGAGATCTGACTTGCGTGTAAAGCCTCGCCCACACTCCCTGCAAACATAGGGCTTCTCCCCAGAGTGTGTCCTCTGGTGTGTGATGAGATGTGACTTGCATGTAAAGCCTCGCCCGCACTCCCTGCAAACATAGGGCTTCTCCCCAGAGTGTGTCCTCTGGTGTGTGATGAGATCTGACTTGCATGTAAAGCCTCGCCCGCACTCCCTGCAAACATAGGGCTTCTCCCCAGAGTGTGTCCTCTGGTGTGTGATGAGATGTGACTTGCGTGTAAAGCCTCGCCCGCACTCCCTGCAAACATAGGGCTTCTCCCCAGAGTGTGTCCTCTGGTGTGTGATGAGATCTGACTTGCATGTAAAGCCTCGCCCACACTCCCTGCAAACATAGGGCTTCTCCCCAGAGTGTGTCCTCTGGTGTGTGATGAGATGTGACTTCTGTGTAAAGCCTCGCCCGCACTCCCTGCAAACATAGGGCTTCTCCCCAGAGTGTGTCCTCTGGTGTGTGATGAGAACTGACTTGCGTGTAAAGCCTCGCCCACACTCCCTGCAAACATAGGGCTTCTCCCCAGAGTGTGTCCTCTGGTGTGTGATGAGATGTGACTTGCATGCAAAGCCTCGCCCGCACTCCCTGCAAACATAGGGCTTCTCCCCAGAGTGTGTCCTCTGGTGTGTGATGAGAACTGACTTCTGTGTAAAGCCTCGCCCACACTCCCTGCAAACATAGGGCTTCTCCCCAGAGTGTGTCCTCTGGTGTGTGATGAGAACTGACTTGCATGTAAAGCCTCGCCCACACTCCCTGCAAACATAGGGCTTCTCCCCAGAGTGTGTCCTCTGGTGTGTGATGAGATGTGACTTGCATGTAAAGCCTCGCCCACACTCCCTGCAAACATAGGGCTTCTCCCCAGAGTGTGTCCTCTGGTGTGTGATGAGATGTGACTTGCATGCAAAGCCTCGCCCACACTCCCTGCAAACATAGGGCTTCTCCCCAGAGTGTGTCCTCTGGTGTGTGATGAGATGTGACTTGCATGTAAAGCCTCGCCCGCACTCCCTGCAAACATAGGGCTTCTCCCCAGAGTGTGTCCTCTGGTGTGTGATGAGATGTGACTTCTGTGTAAAGCCTCGCCCACACTCCCTGCAAACATAGGGCTTCTCCCCAGAGTGTGTCCTCTGGTGTCTGATGAGATCTGACTTGCATGTAAAGCCTCGCCCGCATTCCCTGCAAACATAGGGCTTCTCCCCAGAGTGTGTCCTCTGGTGTGTGATGAGATCTGACTTGCATGCAAAGCCTCGCCCGCACTCCCTGCAAACATAGGGCTTCTCTGCAGACTGTGTCACCTGATGTGTGATGAGATGTGACCCATCACTGAAGCCTTGCCAACACCCTCCATGCTCGATTGTTACAATTTGTGACATTCCTCCTTTCACAAAGAACTTGCCTGTGTCCTCTGGGTTCTCTTTCTGGCCTCTTTGGGGCTCTTCTTCCATCATTCTCTCATGCTCACTAGAGCTCATTTGTTCTTTGGACGGTTGGAAAAAGGGTTTTGAGATTCTCCTTTGACTGATCCTTTTAAGCAAATGTTTGGACCTTTCTTTGACCTCTTGACCTTCAGCTTTATCATTCCAGCTGTGCGTACTAGTATGTTGCCGCTGCTGATTCTGATCCTCTGGACAGGGTTCCTCTGCTTGGAGCTGTTTTCTTGCAGATGTTCCCTGGAGAATCTGAGAGGGATGATTGAGTTTCATGTGTTGGCTGAGGAATTTCTGACTGGAGAAGGCCAGAGAACAGGAGGAACATGGGTGCACCTCTGGCTTTGGTTCTGCTGAAAGAGAAAGGTTTGGTCAGGGCAGATGTTGAGGACAATGCCTGGGCTGTATGATTAGTCTCCTGGTAAGACCTGCCCCGTGAGTCCTTCTTACTGTGGTGACAACGCAACCTCTATATCCCAGTGTCCACTCCCCGTCTATTTTCCTGTTTATTTTTATGCAGTGCATCTTCTTCAGAAATCCAGAAAGCCCACATCAAGGGTCTATTCTAATATTGCCCAGACTAGGGACTTTTGGAGCATGAGAGGCCATTTCACTCCCTGTGTGGATGGAACTGCAGTGACCTTTCCCATCTGTAGGTATCTTCTAAGTCACATTACAGAGGAAAACCACAGGCCCCAACTAGGAATTGCTTCTCTCAGTTTTCCAAAATAGTAAAATGAAATGTCCTTCCTCAAGCCTCACATCAAATATTTATTTATGCTTTATCTTTTAGTGTTAGACTATTTCAAATACACTAAGAAGACCTGTTTCAAAATATTTCAACTACATTTCTTACATGCCTGACTCCTGGTCCTGTCTAGCCAGGCCACCATGCCCTCTCACTTGGAGATGAAGTAATCTGAGGGGATTCCCCGCTGGGGTTTATTTTCTAAAAATTAACAAAACGTAATCAGAACAGAGAACACACCACTCTACAGCTGACAACTGCACACTTTCACTCAGGAAAGTCCCCAGTGTCTCAACTCAGGTCATCGGCACTGCATCTCTGGGCTGCTAAGCATCTGTCTGATCTCTATTCTTATCCTCTATGCTGAGACGAGACCTGAGTGACCCTCAGCCAATTCAACGCCCCACCTCTTTCCTTCCCTGGACTAGCTGCTCCCTCTGCCTGGGATCCTCTGCCCGCAGGTATTTTTGTAAATGTTGTCTCCTGAGAGCCCTTCCCGGACCACCTGCCACACGCCTCCCCTCACACTGATCCCCAGGCACCTGTCCTGCACTAGTTTTCTCCAAAGCACTAACCGCTGTGTGGTGTTATGCACACGCAAGCACGTGTGCCTGGGTTTCCCTCCTTCACCTGTCAGCTGCTCAAGAGCAGTGATTCTGATCCTCACATTACCCTGTATTTCCAGGTCCCAGGATGCTGTGCACCACAGAGTATATAATTCACTGAAATGATGAACGAATGTGCCCTGCCCGAATGGTGTGGCTTGGTGGGTTGGCTGTTGCCTGAAAACTGAAAGGTTACAAGTTCGATCCAGTCTCAGGGCACATGCCAGGGTTGTGGGCCAGTTGGGGGTACACCATAGACAACTGATTAATGTTTCCTTTGCATATTGATTTTTCTTTCTCCCTCTTTCCACTCTCTGTAAAAATAAATCTTGTTTAAAAAGATTTCATGTATTTATTTCTTTTCAGAAAAGGGGGAGGGAGGTAGGGAGAGGGAGAGAAACATCAATGTATGGTTGCCTCTCACATGCCCCGTACTGGGGACCTGGCCCAAAACCCAGCCATGTGCCCTGACTGGGAATCAAACTGGTGACCCTTTAGTTCACAGGCCGGTGCTCCATCCTCCGAGCCACACCAGCCAGGACAAAATCTTTAAAAAATAATGAATGCCTCCAAACAAAAATGTTTTATTTAGAAGTATGGAGGGAAATTAAGAAGAAACAACTATAAAAGTGCCAGAAAAACTGCCTTGGTGAGAGAACTGGTTAGTGCTTGTAAACTTTTCTTTTTTGCCTCTCAGTCTTTCAGCACTACATGCGGTTGTGTATTTTGTATACGAAGTATTTTTAAAATAAAAATTATAAAAATTTTGCTTAAGAGTCAAAGGCATAGAAATTTCTGAAGCATGTGATTTGAAACTTTACTGACTTTAGAGTAGATTTTACTGTACTTAAGAGTTGCATCATAAATGTTTCTATGGAGAATTCTCTCTTTTCTTTCTGTTTTGAAGAACAGTGGTGCCCACCTCTTCCGGCCACGGGCTCTCTTTTCCACTTGCCGCCCCACTTGCTGCCCAGCTCCTGGCCATACTCGTCCCCGCACCAGACCAGCAGCTCATGGCCCGGCCTAATGACACGGCAGGTTCGGTAGAAAATCTGCCTGTGGTACTGAAAGGCCACCAGGTTCTGCTCTTCATCATCCCGGGCACAGTTCACAAACCTGGGATTGAGGCAGATGAAGGGAAAGAAATGCACAGTGATGCTACGTGTTACATCCATGTCCAGCCCCTCACTGATTCTGAAGGCCCTCAGGCTCTGGTGTTGCCCACGGCCCCTAATGATTCTGGGGAATCTTTGTTCAGTGTCTGAGCGTCTGCCAGCATGTCATGTGAATTCTTACGTCCAAGTTCTGCTTGCAGTGTTCATCCTGCCTAATACCATTTCCTAGAACCCAGTTCTAGACTTAACCTCCACCATGACTGGCCATAATATCCAGTGATACTGGATTCTCCAAACTCCAAATCAAGTTGTCTCACAGCATAGAACCTGGTGCTTGATCTAGGGCTCTGCTTCTGAATTAGCTCATTAATTATCCAGTACTCAACCCATGTCTGTTTTCTCTTGAGAGGCCTTTCTCTAATCCTTCTACACTTTATTTAGGGCACCATTCACTTGCCTGCTCAAGATTACCATAGAAAATTGGAGGTCTTTTTGTCTACATGGGTTGTGTGATCTGTTTAAGTAATGTATTCCTTCACCTAAACTGGAATATATTAAGTGCTTAATTAATGTTCATTTGATAAATTAAAGTGTAATCCAGTGTTCCTGGTGAATCTAGGCTCTTCAAGGACCTTTCCAGAGCCAAAGTTGTGTCTAGTAGAGAGCTTTATATTTTGAGGATATATGCTATACTTTCTTCCTAAAAGTGCCCTAAAATGAAAGAACACTGTATGGAAAAAAAGAGGGAAAAAATGATTGAGGGAGACCACTGAGGGAGGCATGATGAGAGGGACAGATATAGGGGCTCATGGGGGATGAGTGTCCCCTCTGACACCCAGAGACCTGTTGACCTCACCTCATCCAGTTGGCCCAGGATCTGTCCTTTCCATCCACATACTCATAGCAGTTTCTCCCTTTGGTGATCTATGTTTTACAAAAGAAGGTAAAGACCTTTTATTTTTTTGGTGGGAAGGTAATAGTCAGAATTATTTTACTCCACAGTCATCAAAGCTCATTCAGCCTGCATGGGGATTCAAGTGCCCGCTGTGACCACATGATATTTTTCTTACTCATCACCTACACAGCCGAGTCTACCTGTCCAATCAGAGCAGGAGCCCCACAAGGGAGGAGCCGCTCCTTTGTGTCCACACCACTTTGCTCCCACTTACTTTCTGATCCTTAAACAGGAGCTCTGTGTTCATGTGAAGTCCAGTCAGTACACAGATCTAACCAAGTCTCCTCCATGTCTAGCACATAAGAGGTGAGGTCCCTCCAAGCCTCAGAAGGAATGTGGGAAGCCAGAGGACAGTGGAAGAAGTAAATAGTTCTCACCAGCCAGGAGTATCTGCTCTTGGCTGCCTCTTCATCTTCTGTGATGTGTCCTTCATAAGGGCCAAAGTGCAGACCCACTGGCAAATCAGCTGCCTCATTCCACACTCCAAGCCCAGCCTCAGGGATGCTGGATGGCCCGATTCTCAGCCCAGGGGGGAGGGTGAGGGCTGAGCGGTGGGGATGCCCCTTGTCCACTGCACTGTCCTTTACAAATGCAGGGGGCCCATGCACAGCACAGCTGTCGATGAAGAAGTTCTGACAGTTCTCACAATCTGGAGAGAAAAATGACAGGGGTTGGGGAACGTTTGGCACATGTTCCTGGACACAAAGAGCTTCAGAGGCAGTCCAGCACTGACATCAGTGAGACTCAATCCTGTATTCCAGGTCCCTAGAGGAAGGGAATGATTTGGGGACCAAAGGACTAGATGAAATTATTGTATCATAACTTGCTTCTTAGTGAGGGTCACTTACAAAGGTAGTCATCATCCTGGGGCTCGGTGACCTCTTGGTACACACAGTCCTTTCTTTCTTGTAGGCTGTACATCTTCACGTCCATCTCCTTTCTCCTGAGTTCTGAGTTGGAGAAGAGCAGGTGAGCCAGGTTGGTGGGATCTATAGTGTTAGTTCCCATTTTGTCAGATAACACACAATCTCCTCCCATCAATTTATTACCTGTCCTTTGGCATACTCTGGTATTTTACTGTTAACTATTGGTTCAGAAAACTAAGACGCCACGGTAACTACAGATGAGTGATTCAATTCTAGTTTCTAGATCTTCCCATTACCAGGTTTAACTTGCCAACCTTTAATCATTCATAAAATATCTGAGTGCACATTATGTGTTAGGCATTGAGTAAAGACCTGGGCACACAACACCAGTAGTGTGGTTGCTATTATCACACATGGATTTTTTGGACAACTTGCATGTGTCACCTGTTTTAAACTCAATTTAATGTTTTCAAACAATATATGAGTGATGTTTCCTTATCTTCACTTTACACATTAGCCTGCAGGGGCTCAGAGAATTTATAGGATTTGCCCAAAGGTCCAGTGGTAACTTCAGTCTCAGCTTAGCCCAGCTTAAATCCAGGCCTACCAAAGTCTGCCCCACAGACCTAGGTCATACTTATCAGCCCCTCTGTAGGACTTAGAGGAACTAAAGTTTCCAAATTATTTTCTTACCCGATTTTTGTCTAGTGTGCTTTCCAAAGGCACGTGTTTCTCCAGGAGAGGACACTGGTTTCTGGGCCTGCTCTGAGTCACTTGCAGTCATGAAATTTGCTGTTCTTGACAATTCCTTCAAACTATATTCATTGCTTAATGGCACCCTGGATGTTGCCTTCAAGATAAGGATCATATATTAAAAGACAAAACGTATTTAATGTTTTATGGCCTATCATATAATTTACATGCATGTTTTTAATACTTGAATCCTTGGAAATACCTCAGGAGTATGAATATTAGAGGGTATAGGGCCAATGTGGGTAATGAATCCAAGATTAGAACCCACGCCTTATGGCTTTTCTTTCAACTGTCTCTATAAAATTGAGAGTGAAGGATATTAGAAAGAGAATAAATAAATAGTTGGCAGAAACATGTCTAGACAATAGCTAAAATGATAAATATTTGCAATACCTTGGAAAGAATATTTGTACTTAGATGAGCTGGTTCCCACCAATTGTTTGAATAAGGCTGTAGCAGTAGCTAGTTGTCTTCAGTGTCCATACCTGTAACATGCTCATTTTTAATGTTATAGTGAATGTGTACTTAAATAATGTTCAACAAAGTGTTCTGTGAATTATGTAATACAGCATGAATGTGCTATCAATTTACCCCTCATCTCTCTCCATATTTCAATCCCACAGAAATTACCTTCAGCACTCATTGATCACGTTCTAATTTATTTTGTAGTTGTAAAATCATTCACTCAGCAAACATTCGGGGGCCCTCAGGAGCCCTGAACTGGGCCTGTGACCTCTGAGAAGTCTCAGGTATGGACCAGGCCCTCAAAGAGCTCACAACACAGAGTAGGCAGGCTGAACAAATGATTCTAAACAGGATGAGAGTGGCCTCATGAGAACTCAGACAAAGCTGTTACTTCACCCTATAAGGGGATTTGAAATCAGTTCCAGACGGATGAGTTTCTGTTGAATAGTGTGTAACCTATATGAAATCCTTAAGTCATTTTATTATTTGTTATTCCTCAATCATGAAACCTGAAGCTCCTCAGGGGTGGGAGATACTCTTTATTAGAGTGGGAGGCTGTGATCCTGGACACTTTACATTCTTCTTCATCTGGGAGCATCCACTGTACAAGCTGCCTACACATTGTACGCTTTCCTTAGAGGGTCTTAGTGCATTTCTCATTTCAGCATAGCAAAGAACTCTGGTTGAAATCATCAGTCAGATGAATGATGTAATGAGATATGGATAAGACAATGTAAACTTTAGAAAACTATGAAAGTGTATTTTTCTAATTTTTAAAAAAGATTTTGTTTATATTCTTGGGAGACAGAAAGGGAGGGAGAAAGAGAGGGAGAGAAACACTGATGTGAGAAACATTGGTCACTTGCCTCTTGCAAGTACCCTAACCGGGAACCTGGCCAACAACCCAGGTATGCGCCCTAACCAGGAATCAACTTGGCAAACTTTCGCTTTGCAGGATGACACCCAAGTGAGTCATGCTGGCTAGGGTAAAACTATGAACGTTTCAATGAGTTCATAAGTAATTTAGAGAAGCAACTATGGATTAGATTGCACTACCACTGATACTGTGATCTTAGACATATAGTCAAACATTTCTGTATCTCTGAAAGCTCACTTCCCTTATCATGAATGGTGAGTTATAGTACGTACCTCATCGGGTTGTTGTAATGTTTAAGTGAGTTTATTCACATAGAATTCTTAAAGTCTGAAACATTGTGAGAATGAAACAAATGGTAGTTACTATTGTTGCTGTAGTTGTTAACTATTAAGATGATGATGAGCCCTGGCTGGTGTGACTCAGTGGATTGAGCGCTGGCCTGCTGAGTGAAAGGTCACCAGTTCCATTCCCGGTCAGGGCACATGCCTGGGTTGGGGACCAGGTCTCCCACTTCAGGGAGTATGAGAGGCAACCTATACAGGTGTGTCTTGCACATGCTTCTCTCCCTTACTTTCTCCCTCTCCCCTCTCTCTAAAAAAATCAATAAATAAAATGTTTTAAAAAAGATTATAATGTTGACAATGCGTTGAGAAGACCAGGAAAGGAAGGCAGCAGTTCCTAGGATACTTTCTGCATTTTCCTACTCTTACCTGCATTTCTATCCATGAGGAAAATTTTCTTGTCAACAGGGTTTGGGAAACACTCACCTTCTGGTGTCTACTCTGTTCCCTTCTAAAGGCCATGTTTCAGGAGGTTTCAATGAAAGATGATGAGAAATCAGTGTTTTGGTTGGTAACTGTTTCTAAAATCTGGAGATTCTTTTTAGGGACACAGAATTGTAAATGAAAGTAGTGCAAGAACAATCCAAGGATGGTTGGAAAATGTTTTCTGAGGTATCATTAAGGCCTATGCTTCTATTGGGGCCATCCACTAATTTCATTAGAATGATAAAAAAATAGACAAAGTTTCTTCTACACTTCCTCCTATGTTCATAAAGCATCTATTACATTTATTAAGAAATAAATTGGCCTCTCCTGACAAAAACATAATAAAAGTAACTGCACAGAAACTCCAACCATGTCTTCAACAGAACCCTTTCTCTGCTCTGTTGTCTTCATTCAAACTGGCCTTGTCCAGGCTAACGGCCCTACCAACCCCTCGCCTCCTTTCTCTGGTATCCTCCCCCCTGTGCACATACTGGCCATCCACGCCCTTCCTTAATCATTAGACTCTGCTTGGCATCCACAGTGTGCTGATCACAGAAACAGAATTCCAGTCAAGTTAAAGATCACGTCTTGACTTCAGCTGTGTTTCAACCCGAGACCCATGAAAGTGGACTGACCCCACCAATCAAACACTCATCATATAGGACAGAACGGCACTATAGCTGATATCAGGAAATGATACACTGATCAGCCACTTCTGACCCTGGCCCTCCCCGCAGCTCCATAACCACCATGTTAATACTGTTCCCATGCAGGCCATGTGGCAGCCCCGTATGGGGACACTCCTCACCGTCCAGACCTGCCTCTCTCTCTTGTGATGACAACTCTTCGTAATTAGTTATTTCTTATTCACTTGTATATTCCTATACATTTACTGGTTATTAATGTGTCTATAAATATATAAGATGATTTTGCAGACTTGAAAGTTTATAGGAATATCCCCTCACTGTACCACACACTGTTCTGCATCCTGCGTGTTCGCAGGACAAGCAAACCCTGCTGCCTGGTTATGTCCCGAGATGCAGCCTGACCTAAACCAGGTTCGTGCCAGGAGGGCAGCTCAGGCTCCTCCTGCCCCTCACCTTGCTGCCTTGGAGCCCATTCTTCATCAGAGTCCTCAGGGTCCTCCTCCTGGAGCTTGGTGGCCTGCCTGGGGTGGTGACACAGGAAAGCTGGTCGCAGGGCCCTGAGACCTGAAAAGAGACAAAACCTTTGTCCTGAAAGCAAAGAGCCTGGAGGAGCAAAAAGCACCAGGAAGCCCGTGGGACTGGCTCGGTTGGGATGGGAGAGTAAAACGAGTTGCTGTGAGCGCTGCACCATCAGCGCCAGCCCTGCTGTGACCGAAGGAGCAAATGCCCCCTGATGGGTGTCCACGCAGGAGGGAGCTGCAGGCGGATGGAGCCGCCTGAGCCAGAGCCAGCCCAGCAGCCTGGCGGGTTCACCAATCCCCTGGGCCCAGCGCCTGCGCGCTACCGAGGCTGGTGAGCACCTGGAAGTTCCTCTTCACGTCCGGGTGCGACCTTTCCCCTCATGGGCGGGGCGCCCGGAGTGGGGACCGCGGACCTGGATGGGCGGGGCCTTTGTTCCCGCCCTTCCCTCCACGCGCCGCCACAGCTCTGGCTCAACAGGCCCGGGGGGCCTGTGGTGGCACAGGAAACGCGCTTTTCCCGGGGAAGGGCTCGGAGGTGCACCCGGGGGTCCGGAGAGGCCCGCAAGAGACGCAGGCGCGTCCCCGGCAGACCGCCGTCTCTCAGGCTGACAGGCTCGGGGTCCCTGAGACCCGATCCTGCGTCTTCCCGGCTGAGGACACTGAGGTCTGGGGGGAGGGTCAGACCCTGCGGCTGAGGAGATTTGGGGCGTCTCATGGAGGGGCTTCAGGGTCCCCACCACTGAGTCGGTTTCCAGGACGACGGCGTTTAGCGTCTCTGAGTTTGGGGAGATTCGGTTTTTCCGGGCGAGCTGCAGGTTGGGGGCCCCGAGCCGAGGGGAACTGGGGTTTTCGGGCTGTTTGGGGGTCCAGGCGTTGGGGTCAGGAGATGTGGGTCCCCCGGGTTGGCGGACATGGGCCCCTCGATGCTGAGGGGGTTTGGGCCCCTCAGAGTGAGGGCGTCTGGCGTCTCTCAGGCTGGACTTTGAAGGTCTCGGGCTAAGGGCGCCACGTGGCAGGGCTCCCCGCTTACCGGTCAGTCTCCAGGGGCCTCTGCTGCGCCGCCCACCAGGGACCAGCGTCCTCTCCGAGCTCCTGGGCTTCCCGCCCTCGGAAAGAGTGCGGGCGCCTGGGGCGATATTCATACCAGGATAGCCTGTGGGAGCAACCCGCCAATCAGTGCTGCGATCCCAGGGCTCTGCCCACCAATGAGCGGTCAGAAGGAGCTGAAGGGGCGGGGCAGGAGGCGGGGCCTGGGTTCCGGGCTGGCTAACCCCTGCCCCTAGGGGATTGATTGGCTGCTCTGGGTCTCCAGAGCCTCTGTCTCACAGCCTGCAGCAAGGCTTGCGTTTTCCAGCGGCCAGTTTTCCAGCGGCTGGAGAGGGACCCGCTCCGCAGGGGCTGGGAGCTCCGAGCCTGGGCCGGTTTTTAGGGTGGACGTGGCCCTCCTGCCGCCTGACAAAGTGTCTTTGTTCCACCAGACTGTAGTCGGGATCCCCAATTTTCCTCTAGGCCCATCCGTGCCCTCTCTTCCAAAGCCACTTTCAGCAAAAGATGCATAGCCAGTGAGGATGTGGTCAAGACTACACTGCAATCCGTGGAAACTTAAGTCAGTAAATTCTGACCACGCAAGTCATACACACAAAATAAGTCCAACTCAAATATTTAAACACAGTGAATGACATAATAAGCATACTGGAAAACACACTGAGTATTTCACGACTCAAAGAAGTGACGTTATGAGTAATAGGTATGTTTAAGTAACTCAGGTGAAAAAACGTTTCAGAAATAGGGAGACAAGATAAAACGAAACAACACTGAATAAATTTAGAAGTATTGGAAAAACATTCAAGTATTTTGCATACAAATAACACGTCAAATTTGGGGTCAGGGGTCCCCAGAGCAGGGTTTGTTTAGCTGCTACTGGTTTTCACGGGATAAAGTGGGAAGAGTGTTTCTGGCCCCTACCTCCTTTTGAGCACGTAAATATAACTTGATTTCCATGGACTGGAACTGTGCCAACTAACTGTAATTGTTACTGTGAAACTGCGTAAAGGGAAACCTCACTAAAGAGGAGTTGGGGGCCAGTGGGGGTGCTCCACATAGCACCACCCAGGGTCAATTACAGGAAAAATTGTCTGTCACAGGCCCCAACATGAAGATGGTACTGTGTGCTCCCAGGAGAAACCGGCTCCCCAGCAACTCAGCCACCTAGAAGCCATTGTCACCCTGAACTGAGGATTTTCTGCACTGCACTTTCATTTGAAATGACCCCTCCCAACTTCCTCCTTTCTCCCTGTAAAATAACGTTCCTCTCCTTTACTTGTGGAGCTTACCTGTCTTTTGCTAAAGCTTGCTTGTCCTAAATTTCATTTTTTGTTACTATTTCTGAATAAATCCCTTATCTGCTGGTAAAATAACTGCCTGCTATACTTTTAAGGTCAACATAATTTGGTGGCTCATATGGGGATCCAGAGGACTCTTGAGATCTCTGAGGCTGATGAGCAAGCAGGTGCAGTGTCCTTGCTCTTAAAGGCTTGGGGAAAGGTCCTTTGATGCAGACTCTCTGGCTCATTTTGAGAATAGCTATTCACAAATAATATCCTCATACCCTCTGACCAAGAAATTCCACTTTTCAAAATTTTTTTCTAGTAGCCCTGGCCTGGTAGTTCAGTTGGTTAGAGTGTCCTGCCTATATGCCAAGGTAGTCAGTTCATTCCCCAGTCAGGGCACATACTAGAAGCAATCAATGAATGAATGCATAAGTGGAACAACTCTTTCTCTCTCTTTCAAATTAATAAATGAAAAAATTTAAAAAGCATAAAAATCCCCTTAGTTATGCTTCCCTGTGTATGAAATGAAACATGGTTAAAATATTGTATCCAACACTTATATAATAACATAATTTTAAAGTTTTCAGTAGAAGAGAATTTGTTAAATTATGGTTTGATCACACTGTGAAATATAGAATGTTGAAAATGGGTGAGGATACATGGCATTTCATTAAAGAAATAAAACCTCCTAAGGTGGTTCTAATGGACTTTAACAGAGAATAGTTTCTAAGCAATGTTGTTACATGAGCAAAGTATCCTGCAAAACAAATTGTGGTAAAAAAAAAAAAACAACCCAGGCAGAAGACATGTGCTGAAAGGAGACACAGGGACTAGTAGCCACAGGGATCAGGGTCTGGTCAACGTGCAGGGGAAAACTTGCTTTTCCTTCATGTCATTTGGAACATTGTGTCATTGTTGTGTCAGTTCTTTTCTCTGTTAATTAAAAAAAACCTATCTATGCATATTTTTTGTAGATAAAAGAATGAATAAGATTAGTAGTTGGTTATATATGTATGCATTTAAAAATGACTCAACAAAAATTCCACACATCTTCATTACATCCAGTGCCTGGTGCTGCCTTCTTTATCTGAATAGCACCTTAACCACCCAGAGTGTCCAATTTGCACCCAAAAGTCTATTCCAGCAGGAACATTTCCACAGTGCAAAACACACTGTCACACAGTTACTGTTTGAGAAATGCAAATAATTTATTATGAAAACAATCAATTTTATATTTAAGTACTGGATCCAAAGTCATTTACAGAAACACAGTTAAGAATATTGCAAACCCTGACTAGTGTGGTTCAGCTTCTGTGTCTGGCATCTGGCAACTAGGGTTCATTGTCCAGCTTCCACTCTGGAGTCTGGCTGTGGAGTCTTGGTTATGGATCTGGGTCCCATCTCTGAGGTCTGTGGCCTTGGTTTGAATCTATTTGGCTATGGGTCTCAGATCTGGGGTGTCTTTGGGGTCTCTGGGTTTATGTGGGGGGTCTCTGTACATGTCTATAAATTTATAGTCGTTGGCTCCAAGTCAATGTCAAGAGGTATTCAACGGTTGGGGTGTGGTGAAGAACACTTTAGTGCAAATATCTCAATTTTAATATAGAATGGCCATGAGTACAGAATGGTTGTTAAGAAGCTCAGTATTGTCACAGGTGAATTATGAAGCAGCACGCGGTGTATCAAACTCAGTACTGCTGCTTCTTAGTTATGTAGCATCAGGGCTGTGAGGAGGCCCTGAAGTGGGGCAGCCCTGGGGCAAACTCCCTCTCCTGCTGAGCTGCTTAGGGCTTCTCTGCTCATCTACATGACTTCTGGTCTAGACCTTCATTTCCTCTTTGCTGGGCTGTATTTGCATATGAAGAAGTGAACATTGGAAAAGGCTGGGTGAGCAAAGAAAGGCCTCTGGTGTTGTCACCACAACAGACTAGACTATTAATATTATTTTAAAATTATGCCATTGTTTTCCCATTGTAGTTTTTAAGCCCTGAGACAGCCTTTTTTGTTGTTGGTGGTGGTGGTGCTCCTTACTTAAATTATATAGAAAAATAAATATAATGGAAAATCCTACCCAAATAGGTAGTAGCTGTGATTATATTAAGTGTATATGCTTCTAAACAAGGTGGGGGTGTGTGGGGTAGAATGGGCAGAGGAGGACAAAGGGGAAAAATTGGGAAACTGTAATAGAATAACAATAAAAATCACTTAATAAAAAGTACATATACCCTTCCAGATAGCACTAGTTGCATATTTCCATTCATCCACTTTCTCTGGATTTCATTTATTATTCCAGGTTTGCAATATGATGCAAAATTTGTGAATTTTCAGGCTTTCTCCCTAATGTGCATATTTATCAGTACTTTTCCCCAGAGCATTTTTATGTAAAATTCTTATTATCATTCCATTTAAATTATGTTTTAAGTGCAATTGTAATTTAATTTATGAGTTATTGAGAAGTGTATTTCATAATTTTTAAATATAAAGACTTTCTAGTTATCTTTTATTACTGATTGCTTGATAACCTGCAATGAGAGCAAGAAACATACTTTATATAATTTCAATCCTTTGAAATATTTTTGATATTTTTTTTGAGAGGACTTCCGCCAAGATGGAGGTATAGGTGGATGTGCCGTACCTTCTCACACAACCAAGTTTAGGGACAACTAAATATTAGCATCAGAAAACACAACCAGAACACGGAAAACTGAACTTTTCGGAAGTCCGCTAACAACAAATTCTTCAGCCCGGGGCGAAACCGGCATCTGGTGAGGAGTTGCAAAGGAGGGCTCGGTCGGGAATCCGGACGCGCAGGTTCCAGACGCAGGATTGGACCTGGTGAGCGACCGAGCGACCCACCGGGTGAGCGACTGCGGAGGAGACAGTGGGGAGGCGGTGCAGCGTGTTGACTGCGGTTGCCTGATTGCGAGCTAGCGAGGGAGTGGGCGGTTGGACCGGCGCGGCGGCGATAGAGGGCGCCTAGGCGATACAGGGCGCCGCCATTTCCCCGCTCTGACCACGCCCCCACATACAGCGTCACAACCCAGCGACCTGGGAGTCCAAGGCGCCGCTTCTCACATTTAAAGGGCCAGAACAGACCAAAAATGTCGCAGGAAGACCTCAAAGCCCCAGAGATAAATCTAAGCGACGAAGAAATAGCAAAACTCTCAGACGCACAGTTTAAAACACTGGTCATCAGCTTCCTCACAGATCTGGTTGATTATAGCCACAAATTAGAGAAACATATGAAGGCTAAATTAAGGGAAATGAATGGAATTCCACAGGAAACCCATAGAGATGAAAAGGAAACTGGGACTCAAATCAATGCAGTGGACCAGAAGAAAGCAAATAATGGCCAAACAGAAAAGAGTCAAGGAGCAAGAATTCAAAGAAATGAGGAGAGTCTTAGGAACCTCCAGGACATCTTTAAACGCTCCAATATCCGAATTATAGGGGTACCAGAAGGGGGGAAAGACACAACCACCAGTGGAAAAATTATTTGAACAAATAATAAAAGAAAATTTCCCCAATCTGGCAAAGGAAATAGACTTCCAAGAAATCCAAGAAGCCCAGAGAGTACCAAAAAAGTTGGACTCAAGAAGAAACACACCAAGGCACATCATCATTACATTAGCCAAAATTAAAATGAAGGAGAGAATCCTAGAAGCAGCAAGAGCTAAGGGGACAATCACC